AGTCTAACGGATAAACAATGTTACAGAACGCATATATATGTAAACAAAATGTATACTTATTATTATAATATCTTTAAAATATCTGATAATTTAATGTGCATATGTCTTATGATCACTTTTGTCCGCCAAATGCTTCTTTGTCAAATTTTTTTATTGCATCATCGAAACCGCTAAACCTGCACCCCCCCCCCACAAATTTAAGCAGTTATTTATTTTGTAATTTTTTTTAATAATATTGGACGCTTTTTTTCTCAAAAACTGAATTATCATTTTTGGCATTTTGGCCCGTATCTTCAAAATAGTTGGACCTGCCTTGGCCAATAACTAATCAGCACGTCTCCTTATCAATAGGAATTGAATCATTTAAATCGGTTGATCTGTGTTCTCGAAATCGACTTGAATAATTAAAAAATATTAGATTTGTATTGATGGGGAGACGTGCTGATTAGCTTTTGGCACAGGCAATTACGAAAAATGGTAATTGAGTTTTGATATTTCTTCTCTGAAACAGCTACACAATACAGCTATCAATTTTCGAAAAATTTCAAAATACAAAAAATGTGCTTTAAAAGTCTTTTTTTTCATTTTTCAAACATTTATAAAGCTCTTTATAAAATGTAATTTTCAGTACGGGATGTTTCAGTAATTTGTCTTAAGGCACAAATCCATGAGCCACTAGTTTACATTTTTTTCGACGCTGTAAGCTTGGAAGTGCACAAAATCGTCATTTTAAGAGAGCCCGAAAACTGAAAAACATATTTTTGTTAAATTTTCAGCTTGTTTATGTATCTTTATATTAGCCAAATTGCCAAATTTGATAACTTATTAACCAATTTGATAATATACGTTCGAAGAGGGAGGCAAGGCAAAATAATAAATTTTAGTTATCGGTTAATTTAACCCAAATTTTGCATTGCAATCGTATTATGTTTTGTTAATTATATTTCTTGAAATAAAAAATGTTGTTAAAAAATAGTTGATTATATTGTATAGAATTTTTTTCTCACTATCCAAATTTTGCCGCCCCCCAAAATTTGCCGCCCTGGGCAGTAGCCCCGATTGCCCTTACTGTAAATCCAGCACTGTGTGTGTATAGTATAGTATTAGTACAAAGTAGTATTATTTTACAATTTTTATAAAATAAGGATTACCAAGTAATATATAAGGTGTATGAAAATAAAACTATTCTGATGGATTTATGGTACATACTGCGATAAACAATGTTGTACAAACAAAACACGTGTTTACTTGAAACACAAGTTCAGTTTAATATGTTTGTTTGGATTTCGCAGAAACTTGCAATCTCTTTTGAAAGGAATGAGATTGAATGATGCTAAAATAACTCGGTTGATTCCTGATCGACAGGCAGTATCTAAGAACTAAGAATATATATATATATATATATATATATATATATACATATATATATATATATATATATATACATATATATATATATATATATATATATATATATATGTATACAGGGCCGGTCCTACCTTGAATACAATACATGCAAAAAATGCGGGCGCACGCCTTAGGGGGCGCCAAAACGAGATTCGGATATGAAATTTATAATAAAGGTTTTTCAATATCATCCAAGAAATATATAAACTTCAGAACAAGAATCTGATACATGGTGGGACAGTATAGAATATAGATGAATATAGATGAATCGTTAATAGTCAAAAAATAAATTTTCTCCCTGATTTTAGTTTTGCATTGAGTTTCAAAACATTTTCGTTTTTTATTTTTATTTTTTTTGAAAAATAATTATTTTTTTAAAGGGTTATCCATTCCTAAAAATATTATTTTTAATTTTGAGACCAATTTTCTTTACTTCCCGCAGGGTAAGTTATTGTAATCGTCCAAAAATCGAAATTGAAAAATTTTGCATGCCTTCACGCTTTAGAGGTTTCTGAACATTTTGGCATACTTAACAAAAATAGATGTGCGTGATGTGTGTATATGTGTGGATATTATTTTTAATTTTGGGACCAATTTTCTTTACTTCCCGTAGGGTAAGTTATTGTAATCGTACAAAAATCGAAATTGAAAATTTTTGCATGCCTTCACGTTTCAGAGGTTTCTGAACATTTTGGCATACTTAACAAAAATAGATGTGCGTGATGTGTGTGTATGTGTGGATACAATTTTTGGCGATGTTTTTGGAATTACCACTCAACCGATTTGCTCAACTTCAAAAAGCAATCTATTCCTATTGATAGGGAGATTTGCTGATTAGTTTTTGAAAATGGCAGTTTCAGCCGTTTCGGAGATAATAAGATAAATGTGCAAAAAATGGCAAAAAATTTGAATGTTTCAAAAAAAATTCTGCTTTTATTGACGAAACAATTGCATTTGGGGAAAAAATTAAATTTTTAACTTTGCAATTCAGTTTTCATTGTTCAGACAATGTTGCAGTACTTATAATAATCTATTTGAAAACATTCAATATTCCTCGAACATTTCGTTACGGGACGGGAAGTTCCAGCAATTTGCCTTAAGGCACGATGCCATGCACCACTAGTTTAATTTTTTATTAAATTTTTACCTTCTAACCAAAAATACTATTTTATAGTAGTTAACTATTTTATAGTTAAAGGTGTAATATTTTTTTTGTTTATCTATTAATGATCAATCATCGGCTTTTTTCTTAACAATTATCAGAAAATTTCGATAAAGATTTTTGTTAACTTGTGGAAAACCTTTTTATCTACTCTATCAGCTGAAACAAATTTTTTCATTGAATCTGCTCAATTTTCAGTAGAATTTTTTTGCGTCAAAACTATGTTTTTTTTGAACATATGATAAATTTTAAACCCACTTTTAATACAAATCACCCTATCATTACATATTAAGAAAAATGTTAACGTTAGAAGATTTTCAAAATACTGTTCTACTTATAATAAGCATTAGGGAATGCAATACCGGTTTACCGGTATACCGAATTACCGGTAAACCGCCCGATTTTTCGGCGGTATTTTTACCGGTATTCAACCCAAAAATACCGGTATTTTCGGTATTTTTAAATAAGCGCTATTTGATACATAATACACTAAAGTTTAAATTTCTCGGAACAAATTTATCGTTAAATTCCATAATCGCATAAACAGCTATATCTTCAAGTGATTCTATAGGATAAACAAATGTCAAATATTATCTCAACTCGTCATTAAATTGAATATTTATTGCTTTACTAAAGGCTTCATATCGTGTTACAATAAATAGAATTGGACTGATAGATAATGATGTTTGTTTCATCTTATGTAAAAATGTAACGGTTTTTTAAGTGATATTTGCGCCAAAATATTTTATATCATGCAGAATACTCTCGCGTAATCTTTATTTTTTTCTAACTTTATACATTTAATTATGATAATTACTAAATATTTTTGCTTCTTATTACAATTATAAAATATTATTTTTCGAAAACGTTTCGAAGTTTGAAAATACTATAGAAGCATCACATTGTTTTAAATAACAATACTCAACAATTATAATAAATTATTATTTATCTCGACAAAGTATCCGATCTTAAATTAGTATAGAAAAATTATTTTTTTAATAATATTGGAGATTATGCTAGTTTAACACATCGGACACAGACAATACAGTTTATTATAATAATGCAATATGATGTTTTATGAGTTTTTGGTCTTTCTTACTCATAAGTTTGTTTTTGGTGAAAAGTACACAATATACTCGATAGTGATAATGAATTAATTAAATTGGATATAATTTTGTTATTATTTAAAAAAATAAACTTATTGTTTTATTTTATTGTTTAGTTGAATATAGTTGTAGTAGTATATACATTTTTTTATATTTGTACTAGTAACTTTCAATTTTGTTTACGTTTGTTTAAGATAATAAAAATACCGGTAATTTACCGGTATTCCGGTGTTAAAATGAAAAATTACCGAAATACCGGTATTGAAATTTTCCATCGGTATTGCATTCCCTAATAAGCATCATAATAAATATAAAAAAGTATTTACTATTCATTATTGTTTTTATTATTAATATTATTATTTTTATTATTATATTCTCATTTATTTATTATCATTAGGGCGGGTATCAAAGCCAGATCCAGTGGTTGCTAATCTGCATTATTAAAATTCAAATCATAAAAATTGAAATAAATATGATAATTTATAATTGTCTTGATTATCGATAAATGCATATCATGTGATGCGTACTATTTATTTTATACTATTTACACATACATATAATTATATTACATGCAAGAATATTTTATGACATGATTACAAATAATTAAATTTAGTTTAACAAATATGTTTAAAATTCATTAATTTTCTTCACACTTCCGATCATGAAGTGCCATGTGTCTCTTTAAATTGCTGGATTCACTAAAGCCCTTATTGCATATTTCACATACGTAAGGTTTTTATCTGTGATGATACAGCATCTGATGTTTCAGACTAATTGATTGTATGAATATCTTTCAAAATTCAAATCATAAAAATTGAAATATGATAATTTATAATTGCCTTGATTATCAATAAATGCATATCATGTGATGCGTACTATTTATTTTATACTATTTACATATACATATACATTACATTACATGCAAGAATATTTTATGACATGTTTACAAATATTTAAATTTAGTTTAACAAATATGTTTAAAATTCATTAATTTTCTTCACACTTCCGATCATGAAGTGCCATGTGTCTCTTTAAATTGCTGGATTGACTAAAACCCTTATTGCATATTTCGCAAACATAAGGATTTTCTCTGTGATGACACAGCATGTGATGTTTCAGACTAACTAATTGTATGAATGTCTTATTGCATATACTCATTCATGGCGGCGTACTCACTCCATTGTGAATGAGCATGTGACTTTTCAGATTACTTTTTTGTGTGAATTTCTTATCGCATACACTGCATTCATGGGGGCGCTTACCACTGTGAATGAGCATGTGATTTTTCAGATTATTTAATTGTGTGAATGACTTATTACATATACCGCATTCATGGGGGCGTACTCCATTGTGAATGAGCATGTGGCCTTTCAGATGACTTGATTGTGTGAATGTCTTATTGCAAGCATTGCATTTATGGGGGCGTACTCCATTGTGAATGCGCAGGTGACGTTTGAGACTACCTACTTGTGTGAATGTCATACTGCATATACTGCATTTATGAGGGCGTACTCCATTGTGAATGAGCAGGTGACGTTTGAGACAACTTAATTGTGTGAATGTCATACTGCATATACTGCATTTATGGAGGCGTACTCCATTGTGAATGAGCATGTGACGTTTCATACTACCTAGTTCTGTAAATGTCTTATCGCATATACCGCATTCAAAGGAGCGCTTACCACTGTGAATGAGCATGTGTTTTTTTAAATAAACCAATTTGTTGAAAGTCTTATGACAGATTTCGCATTTGAAAGGGCTTTCTGTTTTATTACTAGACATGTGATCGACCATATGCTCTTTTAAATGATGTGATTCTGCAAATGATCGAAAACAAATGCCACATTCAAAGGGCAATGTCTCGATTGACTCTTGTTCGACTTCTTGTTCTACAGTCACTTCGGAATTCGTGAACCTTTCTAAACATGTTTCATCATCCTCAGAACACGATTCAGATTTAACAATATCATCAAAATCATCCATTTCATCCTCAATTTCGCGTTTAATGTTTTCTTCTGAATATGCAGGCGGTTCGATTTTAATTGCTTGGTTATTCATAGACATAATTGTTTTTTCTGACATTGTTAAATATTTTCACTGCTTATACTCAAGAATACTTAAGAAAATAGTTGTGGACTAAGTAATAATATAGTTTAATTAGCAATCTTTTTCACAAATAATTTAAACTCAAATTACATTCATTATTTGACATTTGGAGCATAGCGTACGCTTTTAGAAAGATGAGACACTTGTCAAATCGTTTTGATATTTAACAAGTGGCGCGTATTTCAAATTCAATATGGTTCTCTATGTCTCAATTGTCAAAGGTTTTCTTTATTATTAATTCTAGAATAAATAATACCTAAAAAATAAAATAATATGGGATTATTAGTTAAGTAAATAGGTATTTAGGTAAGCACTTTATGCCAAAGCTAAATGTATGTGAATTAACTTAACTTAACCTCAATTTTCCATTTTGACACTTTGGGCAGTTAATTTCAATTTTTATAAGTTGCTTGATGTACCTAGATTTGTCATATTGAATTGTTTTGGTGTTTCTATCATTTTACATTTTGAAGATTTTTTTACTGGTTAGTACACAATTTATTAATTATAATTATTTATTTACATATATACATTATTTTCATATCTCAGTCAGACAGAGGTGCCTGGTATGAGAGATTATGAAAAACAGTTTTCATATGATATATACTTTTTATTTGACTATAATATCTATTTCATTAATATAATATCTATATATATATATATATATATATATATATATATATATAACTCTTCAGTCTTCTTTGCCTTCAATTACCTTTTAGTATTTCTTTATTTTTCTTTCAAAATTATCGTCATTATTGGTCATCTTAATATCCTTTGGCAATTCGTTATATATTTTGCTAATTATCTTTTGTTTGTGTAATTTTTAACTGAATGATGCCAACACACATTTTTTATTGATGTTGTAGATAGAAAGCGAAATGAAGATAGAATTTTATAAACTGTTATGATATGATTAATATTAAGCTTATATCATTTATGAAATATAGTATATTGGAATCTCTTCGGTAAATGATTTTCTAATTATGACTCGAACAGGTCCATGAGCTAGCATTTTTTGTTTTCTTATAGCTGGTACATTGAGAACTGGTCTAAGTAACGTTTGAGTGCTCTTTTTGTATTCAATTACTTCATCTAATTCATCAAAGGTATTATCAAGTCATTATGTATGGCAAAATTGGAGACACAATACATCACTCGATAAGTCTATAAGATTATTTATATTGTGATATTGAAATTCTGAATAATTTGTGGTTGAAATGCAGGCTTATCTGCATTTTTTTGCAATATAATATATATTGCAGATTATGGAAATACTAAAGTCTGCATTTCGACTACGAATTATTCAACATTTCAATATCCTAATATAAAAGATAAGTATTATGGACTCAGAGTGGTGTGTTATCAAGGTTCTAGTATTCCCTAAAAATTTTTATTGTATTCGCTGCATTTAATAGTATTGGACTTACTTCCGTAGCCTTAATTTAAAGCCATAAGTCCACAAAGGCTTTAGAACAGATTTCTATATGAAAACTATATTTTCTAATGAAAGTTTGGAGTTTTTTTTTCATATGAGCCCTGGTAATTTTTTGTGGAGTTTGATTGTTTTCTCAAATAAACAGGTTGTGGCAGTCTTTCTCAGTTTTGTCTTGATTTATTTTCATTTTCCAGGTTCAGAGTTCTTCATTGATTAAATTGAGATGTATTTGTAATGGACTTGAAAATATTACTGAGTCCAGGTCGACTACAATAATACATACAGTAAATTTAGCAATTGTATAATTACTTAATGTTATTAAATCACTCATGTAGAAGATACATAACAAAGACACTTCTTTAGGTAAGACCCTATAAACTTTCTTTCGAATGCCTCGGCTTCTATTACTTCAATTCAGCTCAATTTTTGTCAATGTTTATTATAAATTGTCTATGTAACAAATAAGATTCAAAAAATATAGGTAATAAATTCTTGATTTTACATAAATGGTAACATATAGTATCAAAACTCACTAAATAGTTGACTATATTGCACTCATTGTCAGTGAATATATTTTGTGGAATTCCAAAAAATTTTCTTGATTTATCTTTTCCGAAAAAGAATTCAAGTGTTATCCACTTCTATAAATTTATTATTAAATTTTGGGACCGTTTTTCTTCATTTAATTTTTTATGGTGAAATTGAAAAATACACAATACTAATAATAATTTAGAGTTTTTACCTTCCTACCTTATTTTGTAGTAGGTGAATGTTTTGTTCATTTAGCTCGAATACTAATCAACTATCGGCTTTTTCTGAACGTTTGTCAGTGAATTTTGATTAAGATTTTTTCAGCTTATGGTAAAGATTAAATTTTCTCTAAAATGTTTCTTCAAAAGAACTTGTTAGAACTTATTCTTTATTCTATATTTCTATATATACAGTAAGGCTTCATTGTTTCTTAAAATTACTCTACGATATGAAATCGATCAAATTTCAGCAACAGAAATTTGTATTATACTGAATGATTTTAAACTGCAATCTGGATTGAGATTTACTTATGGATTTATTGCTAATTCTAAGAAATAATCTGACATTTTTGGAAAATAATTCTAATGCCATTATGAAATAAATTTTTAAAAGTATTTTTAAATGATTTTATAACATTGAATATAACAAAGAATGGTTAAAGGATTCAATTGTATATTGTGACAATTGGGGTTGAAGCCCCCTTCTTGGGGTATGCAATGGCTGCCAAGTATTATATTTTAGCCTTGCAACTTCTTACGAAGGGCTTACTTCAACACTCCAATCGCCCGCTAAAGTACCTGTAATTACCTGTGGGGGTTAGTAGCTACTATACGAATGAAACCAAGATTACTTTTATAACTGAATCTATTAAGTGATTCATAATACATCTTGAATGTATTTGTGGAACTTGACTGTACTTGCATACAGTCGATGTTCCCTAACTAATACCACTTATTCTTATATCATGGTATATGTGCTTATATGGACATATGAGGGGAGAATAGCTACAGCTTATAATCTACATTATCTGACCTTTGAGCTGGGCCTGTCTTGTTGCACAACACAGGGTCTTCGTTGGCTCTAACTTCTTAATTGCCCAGGGTCTCCAGAGCATCTCTCCTTGGACCCCAAGAACCAACAAATAGTTTAGGGTAGGGATGGTGTACCCTGTGGTTGACGACCCTCAGGCGACAATAATTATCCATAAGACGATAATATTGATTATCGTCACAATATAATGGATTATTCTAAATAGTAAAATTGTATGAAAAGAGGTTCCTTTAGCAGTTGAATTTGTAATGTAAATGTAAATTAGAACACTTTGATTTAGTAATGTAAAAATAATTTTTAAAAGCAATTAAACGTTTTTATAACACTTTTAGACAAACTGGGACCCGATAATTAATTAGAAACGCTTATCTTCTTCTTCTATATATATAAAAATAAGTCGGGTTTTCCTTCCTGACGAAATAACTCCAGAACGCACGAACCGATTTCGACAATTTTGCATTCGTTGGAAAGGTCTCGGGCTCCGCAAGGTTTATAGCTAAGAAAATTAGTTGTGCATGGCATCGTGCCTTAATGCAAGCTGTTGGAAATTCACGCACCGTAATTAAAAATTCGAGTAATAAAAATAATCAATAACTGTTTTAAATATTTTCAAATAGATTATCTTCTTCTTCTATATATATAAAAATAAGTCGGGTTTTCCTTCCTGACGAAATAACTCCAGAACGCACGAACCGATTTCGACAATTTTGCATTCGTTGGAAAGGTCTCGGGCTCCGCAAGGTTTATAGCTAAGAAAATTAGTTGTGCATGGCATCGTGCCTTAATGCAAGCTGCTGGAACTTCACGCTCCGTAATTAAAAATTCGAGTAATAAAAATAATCAATAACTGTTTTAAATAATTTCAAATAGATTATCTTCTTCTTCTATATATATAAAAATAAGTCGGGTTTTCCTTCCTGACAAAATAACTCCAGAACGCACGAACCGATTTCGACAATTTTGCATTCGTTGGAAAGGTCTCGGGCTCCGCAAGGTTTATAGCTAAGAAAATTAGTTGTGCATGGCATCGTGCCTTAATGCAAGCTGCTGGAACTTCACGCACCGTAATTAAAAATTCGAGTAATAAAAATAATCAATAACTGTTTTAAATATTTTCAAATAGATTATCTTCTATATATATAAAAATAAGTCGGGTTTTCCTTCCTGACGAAATAACTCCAGAACGCACGAACCGATTTCGACAATTTTGCATTCGTTGGAAAGGTCTCGCGCTCCGCAAGGTTTATAGCTAAGAAAATTAGTTGTGCATGGCATCGTGCCTTAATGCAAGCTGCTGGAACTTTACGCACCGTAATTAAAAATTCGAGTAATGACATTAGTGAGAATTATCAGAATTATGCTTGGTTAAGTCAACGAGCAATTCTTGCCGCAAAGAATAATGATGTACACGCATTGAATTTCACCATTCAATCAAAAATTGCTGGCGATTTGGTGACATACCGAAGATTCTGACTGGTCTTCCGTTTGACTTCAAACGATTGTAATATCCAGTTCGCCTTGCGTTCGCAATAACATGTCGCAAGGCCAATTGCTTAGTGTTTGCGGGATAAATTTCAAATAGATTATTTAGAAAATCATTGTTTTTCACATGGGCAGTTATACGTTACCTGTTCACAAGTTGGAAAACCATCCGCTTTGTTTGTGTTAATGTCAGACCAAAAAACAAAAAATGTGGTTTACCAAAGATCACTTCCATAAATGGATAATTTGCGGATTCACTTTTATTTACTTAGAGAAGTTCAACTAAAAAACACTTCATTTTTGTAATCAAAATAAATTCGTTACTGTTGTATAATAAAATCAAATTTCTCCTTTTAAAATATAAAACAAACAAAAAATTTCTTCATCTTTCTCACGAAACTATCTGGTGGCGAAACGGAGTTTGTCGGGTTTGCTAGTCTTGATATAAATACTTTATAATCAATTACAACTTCTA